TATAAACATGACATTTTAAATCAACGAGGAAAAGAAATCATTTGCAACTCACCCTACCATAGGTAGCAGGAATAGGAAGTCATTGGCAGAATAAGAAGATGGTAAGAACAGAACAGAGTTGTAGAACAGTACGTTTCTTGCTTCCCCACTTTTCAAAGTATTTTTTTGTTTTTACACAAGTATAAGTGTAATTTTATTTTCTAAATGTATACTAATTATTTTGTCTCTTTCTTAGATGAATGACAAAAATTACATCTTTAGAAAAAGAGTTATTAGAAAAAAGCCTTGGCAGCCTCAGGGGGAAGTGACAGCACGGAAGAGACCAGAGAATAGCCTCTTGGAGGAGACCCTGCACTTTGACCATGCTGTCCGGTTGGGTATGCTGCCGTCTTCTGCAAAGTCTTCACTTCTGTGCTTTTTCTGTGGTTCCATTTCATAGAAAGATTTGGGGTGGTGTTTCTTTTCCCTCAACTTTTTATTTGAAAAGCTTGCAAACACAGAAAAGTTGATAAAATCATGCAGTAAACATCTGTATGCTATTCACCTGGATTCACTAGTTCATGTTTTGTCATATTTGTTTTCTCTCTTCCACGTATGGAAGATTGTATATTTGCCCTTTTTCCCCCTGAATCATTTCAAAGTAAGGTGCCAGTATCATAGCATTTCACTGTTAAGTACTTTTGCAGATGTCTTCTAAGAACCAGGACATTCTCCTATATAATCACAATACCATTAATCGACCCAAAAAAATTAACACCGATATACTAATGATACCTAATGTATAGATTATAATCAGCTTTCTTGCAGTAATCTGTTTAGAAGGCTTGCATCCTGTCACTGTCCACTGATTAAATTTTGAACTCTTAACTTGAAACCCTGGTCATCTCATTGCCTTCTTTCTTATACCCATTAAGTCAAAATCAGCTCTCATTTTATTTCAATGGGAAAGAGAATGGAAAAGAGGGGAAGGGTCCCTAGGTATCTTGGGTAGAGTATGAGCACTTACTACCGTATGTATTCTAGTTCTGTAGTTTTCAAACTTCAGGGAGCATCTCAAGGCTTATTAAAGCACAGATAGCTGTCCCTCTTCCCCACTTTCTGATTCAGGAGGTGTCGGGCTGGCCCAGGAATTTGCATGTCTAACAAGTTCCCACGTGTTGCTGATGCTGAGTGTCTAAGGACGACAATGCGAGAATCAGTGGTTTAGTGGATATCTACCTAATGAATACATGTTGCATCTCCTTTAGTGCCTGTAATTACAGAGGAAACACCTTTCAACTGGAAGCTATCATTAAACAGAGGATAAGGGATCAGGTCAGTAAGAATTAAATTTAACTTAATTGAAATGTCACTGAAATTTTTAGAAATAATATGACAGGCCAGGCACAGTGACTTATGCCTGTAATCCCAGCACTTTGGGAGGCCAAGGCAGATGGACCACTTGAGGTCGGGAGTTTGAGACCAGTCTGTCCAAGATGGTGAAATTCCCTCTCTACTAAAAATACAAAAATTGGCTGAGCATGGTGGTGCATACCTGTAGTCCCAGCTACTCGGGAGGCTGAGGCAGGGGAATCGCTTGAACTTGGGAGATGGAGGTTGCAGTGAGCTGAGATGTGCTACTACACTCCAGCCTGGGCAGCAGGGTGAGACTCCATCTCAAAATCAATCAATCAATCAATAAATAAAACTAAAAAAATAAAGGGAAGATGTGGCAGCTTTGTGTACTGCACGTCCTGAAAATGGGCTGATTTCCCTCAAGGGGCAGGGATTTAAGCTCTCTAGCCTACATGGGATACATACAGGAGAAAAAAGAGAAAAAGAAAAGAAATGTAAATATAAATAAATGAAAATAACACTTCTCCCTGATTACAAAGGAAATCACATTCTTTTTGTAACAATTTGGATGACAAAATATAAAGAAAAATCTTTAATTTTGCCACTCAAAACATTCTGGTTTGTTGCTTTTTATACTTTCTATGCATATAAACATTTTAAAAAGTAAAATCATAATATATGGTCTTTTGTCACTTACTATATTTTAAGCATGCTTCTATGGCAGAAATATATCCTGGCATCATCATTTTTAACGGCTGGATGCATGTTAAGTAAATTATTGCCACCCCAGAGGTGAATTTCTTTCTTTATATATTTTAATGGACTTGAGTAAGGATTTTTTACTGAATTCATAGAAGTAGAATTTCTAGAGGAAAATAATATAGAACAGTTTTAGGATTTTTAAAAGAAATGTTTAAATGATCCTGTAGGAAAATTGGTTGAGTTTATGCTCTCATCAACAGGGACAGAGCTCCAGGTTCCCTTTCTATTTGTCATCTTTGCTGGTCTTTCAGCAGAAAATCTCATTGTTTTCATTACATTTCTTTGATTTCTAGTGCTTTTGAATCTTTTTCATATGCTCATTGACCATTTTTATTCTTGTGGGAAGTGCTGGTTTCTCCATTGCTCATTTTCTGCTTCCAGCAGAAAATGATTTCCAATCATTCATTTTTTTTTTTCTGAGTAATTTTAAAGATTTCTTTATAGGCTAAGGATATAAACCTTTTATCTGTCATTGAGGTTACAAATACTTTCTCCCAGTAAGTAATTTGTCATTTCACTTTATTTACTTTTTGCTAGCAAAGCACCAAAGTCATATTTCACTTAATTTTTATCCTGCTGAATGAAAACATTTTAACTTAGTGGTTTCAGTTGAAACAGGAGCAGGACAGAATGTAATATCTAGATCTCACTCTGTCACCCCAACTGGAGTGCAGTGGCATGATCTTAGCTACTGCAGCCTCAAACTCCTGGGCTCAAGCGATTTTCCCACCTCAGCCTCCCAGGTAGCTCTAGGACTGCAGGTGTGTGCCGCCATGCCCAGCTAATTTTTAAATTTTTTTGTAGAGATGTGAATTTGCTATGCTGCCCGGGCTGATCTTGAACTCCTGACTTACCCCACCTTGGCTTGCGAATATTCTGAGAGTACAGGCGTGAACTACTGCTCCCGGCCAAGAGCTTACTTTTGTTTGCTAGTGGTGTTCTTGGTATCTGTTTATATTTGAGGCTTTCGTGCTAGTGCTGAAGTGTTACAGTCACCATCTGAGGTTCACAGGACTTTTGTTTCAATATTGAACAGAGGGAACTGTTTAGTTCTGCATCTTCGCAGGTATACAAAATGTGCCTACCAGGACTCTGCTTTATATCCATTGAAAAGCAAGAAGTAATACAGTAAAACTTTGCCTTGCTAGAGGCTTTGGAAGAATGGAGTATTCTGGTTCAATTCTATTAACTTGGAAGGATGAAGGTGAAAAAAATTCAAAACTTTAATTTCCTATTGAATGCAGTTTGAAAATATAGCCAGTGATTCCACTTTTCTTCTCTAGTAAGTTTGGACATTCAGATCTACTTGGTCTTTTATCATAGAACTACTAGTGTGCCTGAGTCTTACATTGTGAAGATCCTTTTCTAAAACTTTAGATGTAAGAGGATATAAATGATACTGGATGAGATCAGGATGAATGAGAACTGATGCCTGTAAATATACTTTTTAGATGAAATCTCTGCCACTCGTTTTCTTGTTGAACTCATAAAAATAAAACACGTTGGCTGGAGGGTGGAAGTAGGAAGGAGATTTATGTCTTTTAATTGCATGTCATTGTTTCATATTGAGACAGAACATATAGTATTCTTGGCTTTGGACCTACAGAAGGAAACACATTTTTCTACCTGCTGCATGCCAGAGGTTCCTGAACACCTGGAGGGCTTATTGCAACACGGATTGCTGGGCCCTACTCCAGAGTTTCTGATTCACCAGGTCTAGGGTTGGGCCTGATAATTTACATTTATAAGAAGTTCCCAGGTGCTCCTGGTCCAGAGACTATATTTTTGAGAACCACTCTTCTATACTAACTGTAAATTGTAGAACTATAGAGAAAAAGCTGAGTTTGGTCTGGGATAAGAAGCACACAGGTGATGGAGCAAATCATGAAAAAGTCAACCCTTGATCTCAGGTAATAAGCAATACACAGTGACATAACACAATTCTTGGTTTTCATGATTGCAAGTCATAGCCAAGTGTTGAGTGAGAAATTCAGTTTCATTTGCAGGGCTTAGAGAGGCCGGGTGATTCTAGAAAAATAGAATTTAGTGATTAACCTCATGAGAGTAGGAGTTATTTATGTCCCTTCTCTCTCCCCCATCCCTTAGCATTTAGCCTTACTTTAGAAGGGTCCTGTATTTGTTTTACACTTGTAAAGAACTTTGAGTGCTTATTAAATGGAAAACTGTGTGTGTGTGTGTGTATGTATGTATATATGTATGTATGTACATATGTATGTATGTACTTAGAGACAGAGTCTCGTTCTGTAGCCCAGGTTGAAGTGCAGTGGCACGATTTTGGCTCACTGCAACCTTCTTCTCCCAGGTTCAAGGGATTCTCCTGCCTCAGCCTCCCAAGTAGCTGGGATTACAGGCACCTGCCACCATGCCCAGCTAGTTTTGTATTTTTAGTAGAGACAGGGTTTCATCATGTTGGCCAGGCTGGTCTTGAACTCCTGAACTCTGGTGAGACCATCCCAGCCTCCCAAAGTGCTGGGATTACAGGCATGAGCCTGGCTCAAAAGCTTTGTGTTTTTAAAGATATTAGACATGTTTCTTGTTTTTTTTTTTTTTTTTAACTTAACAATAATGTAGAAGAATCAGAGAATGTTTTTCCAAAAAAGAGAAATCATTGTGATTATTTTATCTTATTGGAATGTTGGATAATATAGTCTGCTTTATCAATCATCAAGCACACTATAAAATTTCTATTTTAATAGGATTTGTACCTCAATTGAGGTAATAAAGTTTTAAAGTTTTTAAAGTGAAAGCCAGCCCTGCCCCTCTCCGGGAGTGGGCGGGGACAGCAGTTGCATAGGTGGCTTTCCCTGTGACATCACAAGTCCTTCATGATGTGCTGCTGTCTGGCCACGCCTCCTTTCCCTTTCATCTTTCTCATCGACCAATGGGCTTGAAGCATTAAGGCCACACCCCTATTCTGCATTCTAGTGCAGCCCTGGTTACGCCTCCTCTGGCTCAGTCACACAGCTACGTGTAGGTGACTGGAGGTGTATAGTTGTCCTCGCCTGGATTGTGCTGATGTGGCCCCAACCCTACCTTCCTTCCCGTCCGGTGATGTCCAAAGAAACCCGAAAGGGCAAATTGGCTGAGGCCAAGGAAAAGGTAAAATGCACCAGGTTGCGGCACCCCAACCCAGCCCTAGGCCCCCTCTGACAGCCAAACTGCTGCCAGAGTCCATGCCACTCCTGAAGCACACTGGGCTGGGCCCCCCAGTGCCTCTGGACTCACCAAACCAAAATCTTGTCAGCCAGCCCAACCCCCTCATGAGTCCTGCCCCTGCCCTCGCCAGTCACCCCAGGGTGACTTTGAGCTGGTGACTCCTGGAGTTTCCCACTCCGTACTCCACCCTTATCTCCTGCTACCTCAAACCCGAGCACCCTAGGCTCTTTGGGCTCACGTCTCCAAGGACCTGGGTGCCCCAGAACCTGCTTTCACCAGTTGCCCCAGGGTGACTTTGGGCAGGTGACTCCTGGGGCTCCCTGCTCCATACTTGGCCCTCACCTCCCACTGCCCCAAGCCTGACCTCCGTGGGCTCTGTGGGCTCGCGTCTCCAAGGACCTGGGTCCCAATCCTGTGACCCCCTCCCCAATCTCAAAGTGGCAACTTGGGCATTGCACTCTTGTGTTCCCCCCACCACTCCACCAAGGAGTGGAATGTAGTGATGTCACAGTCCCTCTAGAAACTGTCATTACTGCCACCAGACTGGCCTTTGGTCTTGGGACCCAGTACCCTAAGTGTTCTTGTCATTTCTAGTTCCTCTGGTTGCAGCACAGATTTCCAGCTGGAAGGGGAATGGGGACTGTGGGACCTAGGAGAGAGAGGTTTCAGGCTGCCTTACTTCCTTACTTCCTTACTTCCTTAACACACACATTGACAGTATTAGAAGCCTACACCTCCCCCATGAGCTCAACACGTTGACAGTGTCTCTGGGTGGCAATGGGAGAATGGGTTTGGTTTGGTTTTCTCCCAGGCTTCTACTCTCCGGAGGAACTTTAACATTGTTTCTGAGTTCTCCACCTCAGATTTGAATTCTCCATTGTTCTGGGACCAGAGGGCCCCTCAGTCAGTAGTTTCTAGAGTGAGATCTGCTTATCTTCTGTGGAACAGATCTTGGGAAACTGAACTTGACAGCTTGAATCTTCCTCATCTCATCTCAACCTGGGGCACTTTGAGTGCCACAGGATAAATGTGGGAGATCTTTCTAAAGCATCAGTTTCCCTTGATTCTATTGAGAGACAAAACATTAATGTACTTAGGGATGACAGTCACATAGATCTATGAGTATACAAGACTTCTCCCTGAAATGAGGGTTGGGTTGTCCTCTTTCTGTTAAATTCTCAGATTTAACAGAAAGGCTGTCTTCTGCCATGAGGATACATTGATGTAAAAGCTTGAGAGGTTTTAGTGCACTTCTTCACACTAACAGACGTGTGAGGATATATGATTCTAAACCACACAGGGTACAGTTCCTGCCTACTTAATATTTGCCTTTCAACCTCTGCCTCTGGTTTTGGTCCCTGGCAGTTGCTGATTTGTGGCAAAATCCTGGAACTCAGAGTCAGAAGACTGGGTTTAAGTTCCATCATTGCCTTTTCTTCAGCCGTGGTATCAATCCCTCTCAGTCACTAAGTGATTGTGACAACACTTTCTACAGTTGTTGGTGGCATTAAATCAGATGCTCTATAATAGTATTTTGTATGAACTGTAAAGCCGGATGTGACTGTAGGAGCTTGTAGTGCTCATGAGTATCACTGCTCTTCCTTTACACAGTTGAGAGACTATCATCCCCAGACCAACCCTAGTGTTGGTAAAGGAGCAACCGACACCAAAAAGAAGAAAATAAATAATGGCACTAACCCTGAGACAACCACTTCTGGTGGTTGCCACTCACCTGAGGATGTGGGTCTTGGCTGGCCAGGCTCCTAGGGACAGAGGGCCCAATGGGTGGTGGAGGGTAATTGTTAAGATTGTGGAAGAACTGCCAGGTACTGCTTAAGAATTCTGGGTTTGAATCTTACCTCTCCATCTGCTAGGGATATGATTTAGGGCAAATTGCTTGAGCCCTTTGGGCCTCTCTTTTCACTTCTGTAAAATAGGAGTGGTATTGTTTTACTTACATTTGTGAAGTTTAAATGAGATCTGTCATTGTTGTTTTTATGTTAATCCCTAGTCCAGGGCCTGCTGTAAACTCTCCTTCTTGGGCTTGCATTTCCTGAAGTAGTTAGAGAGTATCAGAGGTTTCTGTTAGCTCTGAGAGTCTGAGAGTTGAAGGCCCACTAGAATGGAAACCTCAGGGCCGAGGGCTCCTGTCTGCCTTTTCCGTCGTATATCCTTGCTGTGAAGAACCATCCCTGGTCGGTATGTGCTCAGTCAGTGTTTGTTGAATGATTGCACCTTTCTAAATCACAAGCTGGCAGAAGGGTGGGCTTTTCTCACACTCCATCTCTGAAGGTTTATGTTACTGTCTTTTTGAGACAATCCGGTTTCAGACTTTCAGTTCTGTGGCTGTGGGCAAAAACCAACAAAGACCCAAATCCTTTTTCTTTGGGAGTGGAGGAGAGTTTACCAGTTTGTGTTCCCATTGGGTCTGAGAACTTCGCTTTCAAAATCCATTCCTGGCCCCTGCCTACCGCTTCCTGGCCTGGGGAATAGAGTCGAGGGGGCCATCCTCAGTCACCTTCCTTTGACTCTCCCGACAGAGACAACTGAACCGAGCTCAGCTGGAAGAAGTAACGTGATTTCTTTGTTTGCTCATGACATGACTGCTGGGTTTGGGGGGGCACTCAGATGTAGAGGCCCCAGTCTCATCCCGTCCACTCCCAGCCTGAGGAAGAAGGCTCACCCCCCGGATTCCACCCCATCCCCACAGGGTCCCTGATAACCTGGTCCCGTGGGTGGGCCTGTCCTGGGGCAGTGGTGCCATTCTGGGGGCATGTCTCTTTCTGTGCCATCTCTGCCTCCCCCTAGGAAGAGCTCTGTCTTCCTCTTTCTATAGGAAAAGAAGGCAAGCCACCAACATCAGGAAGCCCTAAGGAGGGAGCTAGAGGTGAGTGGAGGGTGTCAAGTTCCCTCCTGTCCTCCAGAGAAGGTTTCTTTGCTTCTCTTTCAGCACTTGCTTGTCTTTTCTCCCAAAGGCCCAGGTTCATACCATATGAATCCTTTCATGTCAGAAAAGTGAGCTTCAGATGGCACTCTATTACAGCCAGCATGCTGCCCAGCATTTGGAAGGTGGGAATCTGGCACCCCGTCATCCTTCAACCTGGCACTTTGACAGGCCTTTAGGGGGAGTCCTTTGGGCCACATCTGAATGTCTCCCATTCCAGGACAGTCCAGGGATCTGGTCAGCCGCCTGCATGATTCATGGAAGTTTGCAGGAGAGTTAGAGCGGTCTCTCTTTGCTGTCATTACCCAGAAGAAGAAGGCGGACAGGGTGAGTCCAACCACCTGCCCCGTCCCCTGGGACCCTGGCTTCGCAGATGGAGGAGTGAGCCTAAAGGTCCCTTCTGTAGGATGGAGTGTCCTGCCCAGAAGGTAGCATGGCCATTTCTTGCTGCTTTTGTGTGTGGTTGTTAGAGGAAGACGGGGGCTGAGTCGGCTGCTGTGGGTGAGTTGGGGGGTACTGTGGGGAGCGAGCACTGGACAGAGAGCTCGGAGGCCAAGTGCCTGCCCTGCCCATACTTGGCTGTGGCCTTGGCCACAAGTGGTGGCCTAAGTGGTGGTTAGGGTACTTGTACCATAAAGGTACGGAAGAGTATCTTGAGTATGTTATTATCTGTGTTGAGAGAGGGAGCACGCATATGTGTGTGTGTATGTATTATGGTAATATACATAAAACATGTTTGTAAGGATTCATAAAAAAGGAGAGAGGAACAGTGTTGTGGGGGAGATATTTCCCTTCTGTACTTTCTGAGTTTTGGACTATGTGAACGTATCATCCTTTTAAAAAGTCAATAAAAGATTAATTTCCTCCTCCTTGTCTGTGCCCCTACCCTCGGTGAAAGAATGGGCTTAGAGAATCAGATATACCTGGGTGTTGAAATCCCAGCTCTACGTGATCTTAGGCAAGCACTTAACCTTTAATACCCCATGTTTTTCATCTACACAATAGAGGTAATAATGGTAACCGTCACCTATGGAGGTTGTGAGGATTAAATGGGACTGTTAGCGCAGTGCCTGGTGAAGCACTCAGTAAAGGTTCCAACAGTGGTAGCAATAACAGTAATAACAATAGCAATATTATCTGATCTCTCTGGGCCCCTGTTAGCCAGCTATAAATTCAATCTCTTTCCCTGTCTCTTCCACCTTTACCGAGTTCTTTGAAAAACAAATGAGGGCCAGTGCTTTGACTCAGGCCTGTAATACCAGCACTTTGGGAGGCCGAGGCGTGCGTATCACCTGAGGTCAGGAGTTCAAGACTAGACTGACCAATATGGAGAAACCCCATCTCTACTAAAAATACAGAATTAGCTAGGTGTGGTGGCACATGACTGTAATCCCAGCTACTTGGGAGGCTGAGGCAGGAGAATCACTTGAACCCGGGAGGCAGAGGGTGTGGTG